ACCATCCTGGTTTTTTAAGATGAGTATTTCCCCTTTTTTTTTTTTTTTTTTTTTGCTATTAAAAATATTGCTTGGATCATTGTCTGACTGTCTTATTAGTTCCCAAAAGTAGATTCCTAGAAGAAAATATCACTAGGTTAAAGGGAGTATGAAATCCTTAAGGTTCTTAATACATATGGCTAAACTGTTGTCTGGAAACTTTATATTGAGTTGTGATGTCACCAGTGGCCCATGAGACCACACCCCAGGATAACCTCAGCAACCCCGAGGATTAAAAGTTGTTTTTCCTTTTGTCTTGTTTTCACATATTTTCCATCTGAGAGATTAAAAATATGCAATCACTCCATTGCTTTCATTGCAGATCTTTATACTGCAGAGTCTGAGCTATTTTTTCCTTTATTGGTTCTTTGTGTTTCTCCAGGGAATTGTCCCTCCTTGTCCTTTGCCTATTTTTCCATGAATTTCTAGTGTTTTCCTTATTGCTACTCCTGCATTGTTTCCTCACTAAGGACATTAACCCTTTATCTCCAATGTTGTGCAATTTACCCCAGTTTGCTGGTGAGCTATTTGCTGGTGAGCTTCCTTTAAATGATTTGAAACACAGTCTTTTGACTTACTTATAAAATTTTATATATTAGTAAAATTTTTTTTCTTTACAGATAATTCTAGATAGAGTTATTACAATGTGTATTAAGGTTTTATGGCAATTATAAAAGGGACTTTCTCTTCTAGTTTATTTTCTAATTATTGCTAGTATACCTACCAAATCTTTCCTTATTTATATTATACCTACTTTCTCAAACTCTTCCTCATTCTATAAGTTCCACAGTTGGTTTTCTTGGATTTTCGAGAAATACACTAAAAAGGGGTCAATGAGTTTGTCCTGTAAAGAGGTAGATAATAAATACTTGGGTTTTGCAGGCTATATAACCTCTACCACAACTACTCAATCCCACCATTGTAGCTTGAAAGCAACCATAGAGAATATGTAAACAAACAGATGCTGCATTCCAATAAAATTTCATTTACAAAAGTAGGTAGCTGGCTCAGGGCCTAAGTTTGCCTACTCTTACACTAGACTGTCTGCAAATATCAATTACTTTATTTCCCTAACTCAATTCTTTACAATTCTAATTTCTGTTTCATGTCTTATTGCATTGGCTAGATGCTCAGAGAAATAAGTTTGCCTACTCTTACACTAGACTGTCTGCAAATATCAATTACTTTATTTCCCTAACTTAATTCTTTACAATTCTAATTTCTGTTTCATGTCTTATTGCATTGGCTAGATGCTCAGAGAAATGTTAATTAGTACTGATGAGATTGTTCCTAACTCTGATAGAAACAGTTTTAAGAATGATGTCAGCTTGACTGTTGGTTTAATCTAGGTAATATCGATCTTGTTGAAAAAGTACTCTATGGCTAGTTTTATAAGAGGCCTCTCCCCTCCCCCTTCTCTAAGTAAGGAACTTTTAGTTAATGTTATTGAATGAGATCATATAATTTTTCTTACTGGGCCTCCTGATGAAACAGATATCATCAGATCTTCTGATCTTAAACCATTCTTGCATTTCTACGATACATGATATTGCCAGTGCAGCATTTTATTTGGGACATTTGGTTCTAAAATCACTTATTAGCTTGACCTGTGGTTTTCTATCAGTATAGTATTTTTGCCAGATTCTACTAAAAGTGTTATCTTAGTTTCATAAAATGAACTGGGATTAATAGATTCTTATGCTCTGGAACAGTTTCAATGTTACAGGAAATAGTTGCTCTTTCAGAATTTGGAAAAACTTATCTGTAAAACTCCCTTGGCCCAAGGACTTTTTTGAGGAAATTAACTGACACATATTTTTTAGTCTTTTTCCTAGGTTACTAAACTACTTAATTTTCCTGCTTCTTCTTGGGTCAGTTTAGACAAGTTAAATTTTTCCACCTCACTGAAAATTTCAAATTTCATAGCACACAGTCAACCAGAGAACTCATATTAAGATTTTCTTCTGACCCTAGTTTTATACCACCTTCTTTCCTTCTAGCTATTTGTATTTTTTCTTTCATTACATTTACTACAGGCTTAGATTATTGATTTTACCCTCTTTCTCTAACACATTCATATTTTTACATTTTTAAGTTTTTTCTTAATTTGTGAATCCATTTAAGTCTACTAATTTGCATATAACCTACAAGTTAAGGTACATGATATTCACATTTTCACTATTTTCCAAATGGACTTTAATAAAAGTTAATTTTCATATTGACTTAATAGATAATTAAGTGCTTGACTTTTAACCACCAGGAGATAGAGTTTTCTGCTCAAATTTTTGAAGTTAACTTATAGTTTTTATTTCACAGCAGTCAGATATGTGGTCAAGAAAAAAATTCTACTTTGGGGTTATTCATTAAGATTTTCTCTGTGTCCTTTCTGTATTAAAGAACCAATGATATTCTTGGATGGAAAAGAAAACAGCTCCACTATTTGTCAAGCCAAAGATATATCCATATTAGCATGATTCAGAACATTTCTGCACAGGCACAAATGGGCTTGGCAAAAATAACCAAGATGTTGGTGCCTCTCAAATAACCACTGAGAAATTGGTATCTGAACAACTGGAGATGTGGAATGGTCTCATCAAACAGCGCAAATGTGTATACAGTCGTCCCTCGGTATACCTAGGGGACTGGTTCCAGGATCTCCCACGGATACCAAAATCCATGGATGCTCAAGCCCCTGATGTAAAATGGCAATGTATTTACATATAACCTATGCACATCCTCCCACAAACTTTAAATTATCTTTAGGTTACTTATAATACCTAAGACAGTGTAAATGCTGTGTATACTTGTTATACTGTACTGTTCAGGAAATAATGACAAGAAAAAAGTCTGTACATGTTTAATACAGATGCAATATTTAAAAAAAAAATTTTTTTTAATTTTTAGTGACTGACCAGTATACAGATCGAACCGTGGACCTTGGTGTTATCAGCACCACGCTCTAACAAACTGGGCAGTCCTCTTTTCAAATATTTTTTATCTGAGGTTGGTTGAATATTGGATATGGAACCCACGGTTACAGAGGGCTGATTGTATATACCTAAAGTGCTCTATCCAAAAAACCACCAATGGTAATGAAAGACCCTCATAACAGAGTATCAGCTGAGTCTTTACTCCCTACATAGACAGAATTTTATTATCAGCAATCTCAGACTAGACCAGTGGGCTCAACCACGAGTACTTCTGTCCCCCAATCTCAGGGGACATTTGGCAACGTCTAGAGATATTTTTGGCTGTCACTACTTTGGGGTGAGTATGCTACTGGTATCGAGTGGATAAAGGTCAGGGATGTTGCCTGACATCCCACAGTGCACAGAACAGTCCCCACCACTGAGAATGTCCAGCCCCAAGTTTTAATAGGGCTGAGATTAAGAAATTTTGCTTTGGACCAAGGCTACAGACTCCTAGGTCTTTCTTTACTACAGATGATATTCCAAATGGCCACTAGAGGTCAAATCAGGCTAACACACAAGTGCCTGGAAATAAATAAACAAACAAACACTGCTAAAAGAAAATCCCTCCACGTGGCCCTAACCTGCCTTTCCAATCTCACCTCCTGTTCCTCCCAAGAACCCATGACCCATCCACCTCTTTGCCTTTCCCCAAGTTTTCCTGCCTTGTTCTCCCCTCTAGGATCACACCTCTCCATTCTTTAAGATATCAGTAGAAGGGAAATGTCCCTGTCTCTCCTCCATGGACTTCAGTGACACGGTACTCCTTTGCTCATGCTGTACGACCCCTCTTAAAAATGTTCTGCTTCCAGATCAACTTTCTCCCATACAGGAGTTGCTGCTGAGGCATGGCACCCTGCCACGTGGAGCTCAGACTCCAGGTGCTGGTCATGGTTCTGCAAATGCATGCAGTAGTTGTGGAGAGATGTTTACTGAGTGAGCAGGTATGGGAAACAGGAGGCATGAGGAGATGCCCAGGAAGAATCCCCTTGATTCTATGTTTGAGGAAGAGTGTGTTAGTTAAGATTTTTTCCCTACATTCATGCCCACATCCCACTTCAGAGTGAAGACATTTAATTTGTGAATTTGTGAAGCATCTGGTCTCAGCACAGCAGCCAGATGCATGCAACAAGCCACAGACACCCCTGAGATCTCCGAGGTGCATGTCATGCCCTCTGCCCCGCCGGACCCTGCCACTGAGCAGACACAGGGGGCCACGCGGACGTCCCACAGGTGAGTCGTACCTAGTGTCCTGGGCACCAGTGCCTGAAGAGGTTTTTCTGTGAAAACAAAACCAACCACTTCATCAGACAGACCTCTGGACTGTGACACTCTGGAGGCCACATTCTGTCCAAGCAAGAGCACGCTGCCTTCTGGCCACTCACTCTCACCACTTGCTGGTGGAAATAAACTACACTTTCCCCAGCAGGTGCAGGGAATCCAGCAAGAAGGGGGGAAATAGAGATAATACTCCCCAGAGACTCAGTCTGCTGGGTTCTCCTGGGATGTCAAATTTGACTACATTTAGACATTACAACCTACTCAGCCATTTCTCCAAGTCCAGCAGCATTTTATTTTTAACCAGTAAAACAGTAACTGCTTCGATGCCTGGGCTGTACCACCAAATGCTCTTTTGCACTTGGGGTCATAGGGGGAAAATGCAAGAAAGAAAGATAAAAAAAAAAAAAAGATGTTACATATTGATAGTTCTGGGAAAAGTCTACTCAGATGAGTGGCATTGATGGATGTTTGTGCAAACACATTTTAGAACCTTGTTCTATACCAAGGTAAGCCTTGTGGGGTTTCAATCCACGTCGGAAATGGACAGTTGTCCATGTTGAGTATCCCTAATCCAGAATCTGAAATCCAAAACGCTCCAAAATTTGAAACTGTTTGAGTGCTTACATGATGCTCAAAGGAAAGGCTCATTGGAGCATTTTAGATTTCAGATTTTTGGATTAGGGATACTCAACCAGCATGTATTCTGCAAATATTCCAAAATCTGGGGGAAAAATCCAAAATCTGAAGCACTTCTGGTCCTAAGCATAAGGCATACTCAATCTATATCAGATGTTTCTGGGTAGTCACCTGCTAAAGTCCTAGGGAAAGGGGGCCCAGCTCTAGGCACACCAGTCCACACTCAAAGCCCACATTCCACGGGACATTTTGCAAATTTCTGGAAGTATGTTTCATTGTCATGACTGACCGGGGGGTACATGGGGGTACTTCCGGTATCAGTGGAGACCAGGGGTGTTGCCGAATATCTACAATGCACAGGATGGCCCCTGCCACCAAGAATAATCCAGATTCAAACATCAACAGTGTCAAGGTTGAGGATCTCTGTCTAAGTCATCCAATCTCATAACCCTAAAAGATAGAAACTACTACTATGTCCATTTTACAGATGGGGAAACTGAGGCATAGAGAGAGGTGAAGTGACCTGCCCAAGCTAGTAAGTAGAAGGGCAGGGCACGCAAGCAGTCAACCTCAAAAGTCCCCACTATGAACCACTCTGCCATTCACTCCAGCACTAAAGCAGAAAAATGCACATAGAGAGGACCCATCTGACCTGTATCTATAAAAGTCTATTCCTATTTTCAGCCCAAATCAAACAAACAAACAAAAATTGTGACCCACAGGATGTGCCTTTTACCTACGTGTCTTTTCTTGCAGGAAAGGTAAAGATGGGTTAAAATGTCAAAAGTAATTTTTACTACAAATTCTCTCAGTGCACCAGAGATACCTCATTAAGTCCCCTCACTCGGTAAAGGAAATTCAATATATTTACTTAGGAGAAGCCTCCAGGTTTTGATGATGCTGTGGAACATTCCAGAAGGATGAGAAGGTTACATGGATTTTTTTTTTTTTAATGCACTGAGTTTGAGACTCAGCAATAAATCAAGCATGGGATGCCGGGCAAGCATTTCTCAAGATATGCCCCAATAAGCTAATGGAGTTTGTTTCAGAACTCAGAGACCGGTTCAGGAGAAATAGAGAAAGCAAATGTTGGGTTTTGTAAATTTTCCCTTTTTGTGTGATTATTTGCTCTTCCTGGTAAAGTTCCTGTTGAAATCACAAGATCCTCTTCCTCCTTCCAAGAAAGGGCTCAGCTTGGACTCCGGCCACCCTCCTGCGGTCTCTGGGTCCTTCATCTTGTCCCCTAATTAATGACCCCACAACACTAAGCCATCTACACACCCCAAGAGAGCCCAGGGCCATGTCAAATCCTGACCTGGGGACGAAAACCACATTGTGCAGGTAATCCTCAAACGTCTTTCTAAACGAGGATTCTTCCAGCTCCTTCAGTATCTGAGAGTCAGTCTTCGGGCAGGAGCAGCATTCACCAGCCGACTCGTCGTGTGCACTCTGGTTGTGCTTCTGAGAATCCTCAGACTCGAACGGTGGTGACCACATCCTAGAGGGCAGCTTCAAGCCTAGAGAAAGGCAGAGAAGGGGGCTCAAGTCCCCCGGCACAACACACAATACAGACAGAGCAGAGGGCGTCTTCTCAGAGGGCCTGGGCACAAGGGACAGAGCCTGGGCTCAAGTCCCACTTTGAAAAACAAAACCTCTCTCTAGAGGGTCTTAGAAACATCGACTGATGAGTTTTCAGAAGGAGAGAACAGCCCTATAGTGACTAGAGGTGGGAGAGGGGGAGAGGAGTTAGAGAGTAATTGGGTAAGGGACACAAAGAGTAATTATGATTTATAATGACGAACATGCAAATAATATTGATTCGATCATCACATACTGTACACAAATACTGATAGTCAAGTCTGTACCCCATAAACATGTATAACCAAAAATAAATAAATAAAGTTTTTATGGGAAAAGAAAAGAAAAAAGAAATATTAACTGAGAAGATGCATGTCTCAGCATGTTTTAGGAACTGTCAGACACCAGGCAAGCAATGCAGCCAGCCACCCAGGGTCCTTCCTGCGTGGGGCCGAGGGTCAGCCCTGTCCCCCCCCCCCCACAATATCTTAGAATGTACTTAGTAACCACAGGTGTTTCTTTAGAGTGTGTGACTTACCTGCTTATGTCCTTCACCAAATTTCTGCTTAGATTTTTCTAATTCATTTTTAAGAGTTCTTTTTGGCATTAAGGATGTTAAACTTTGAGGGTTAAACTTGTTGCTTATCAATTGACTTTGAATTTAATTTGTGATGTTTTCCTTCATTTCTATGTTGAGAAAATAAATTTCTATGTAAACATTAAAAAAAAAAATCCAAAACTGTTGGACACCATAAACCACAGGACTGGAGACTGTAAAGTAACCATGTCTCTGTCCTCATGGAACTTAACATTCTGCAATAAACTAGTAAAAACATAGTCATGGATCAGATGGCGGGGTGAAAGGACAGAGAGTATGTTGGGGTGCTCTTTGTATGGAGTGGTCTCAGAGAAAGTAACCATTGATCCATCCCGAACTGAAGTACAGAAACGAGCCATACGTATATCTTGGTGTAAAGCAACCCAGACAGAGCAAAAAGCAAGTGCAAAGGTCCTGACGTAAGAATTTACTTGGCGTGTCAAAAACAACCAAGGAAACATTGTAGCCAGAAAGAGGTGAGCGAGAGAACGGTGAGAGGTGGGGCTGGGAAAGGATCAGGGTCCAGGTCACAGATGAATGAATGAATGAGTCAGTCAATCAACCACAGAAACATAAAATGATGAAAGCAGAGCAGAACTGCACATGGAAATTTTAAAGGGGTCCATTCACAAATCCAGACATCAGACTTGATTAGTGGTTCTCACCCTGGGGGCAATTGTGCCCCTTAGGGGACACGGGCAACATCTGGAGACATTGTGGTAGTCACAGCTTGGGGAGGGGGTGGTCCTGGCATGAAGTGGGAGGAGACCAGGGACGCTGCCCAACCCCCTACAGTGCACGGAACAGCCCCCACCACAGAGAATGATCCAGCCCCAGATATCAACAGCGCCGAGGTAGAGAAACTCTGCGTTAAAGACATGAGAAGTGACGGAGGAAGAAACTTTTCAAATATGCATAGAAAAGGGAATTTTAAAAAAAGAAGGCACCACCTTCCCAAGGTAGCAGTCCTAAAAATACAAAACTGCTTTTTAAGTACCACGGCTGGCCGTGTCTTGACCTCTGAGGTCAAATCCCAGATGATTTGGGATCGATCCCATTAATCAAATCCCCACGGGCAAAACCCATGCTGGTCTCCAGATTCACCTCTCCAGCCCTCTTAGTGCCTGGTACCTGCTAGTTCTGCTGAGCAAAAGAAATTCCAGTTTTCCCTCCACTTAATGCCTCAGGGGTAGACAGTGAGCTCTAAACGAGCATGTCAAGTACCTTCCTGTGGATGGTGAGTATCCACTCGAAGCCCAAGTATTTATCCAGCTTCGAAAGCCTGCAAGGGACTCTTAAAAATACCTCCTACGTTCATGAATAGACACAGAATAACTTGGCTGGGTTAACTGGGAGGGGGGCTAGTCACAGCATTATGGATGGAAGAAAAATGTAGGATTTCCTTTGTAAAGGGGGTTTCTCCTCCTATTTTTCTGGAGAGAAAGTGATGTTTGATTGGGCACAGGTATCATTCCTGATACCTGGTACCCGTTTCTAGTAGCCACTGCTTGAAACTGGGTGCCCCCTGTTTTTTCTGAGAATACAAATATAAACCATAATGAGGTCCCTAGAACAGTCACATTCACAGAGACAGAAAGTAGAATGGGGGGTGCCAGGGGCTGGGGAGGGGGACGAGGCGTGAGTGTTTAATGGGGACAGAGTTTCAGTCTGGGAAGATGAGAAAGTTCTGGAGATGATGGTGGTGATGGTTGTACAATACTGTGAATGTATTTAATGCCACTGAATAGTAAAATGGTTAAAATAATATCTTTTATGTTATGTATATTTCACCACAATAAAAAACAAAACTGGTGATACTAACAGGAAACTACTAGTGGTCATGGTTAGGAAGTTTATTGATTTTGCACGTGTTTGTTTTAAATTCTGGTAAAATAAATATAGCATGAAATCTACCATCTTAACCATTTTTAAGTGTACTTACAGTTCGGCGGCATTAAGCACATTCACAATATTGTGCAGCCATCGCCACCACCACCACCTCCAGCACGTTCTCATCTTCCCAAACTGAAACTCTGTCCCCTCGAAACACTCCCTCCCCGTCCCCCTCCCCAGCCCCGGGCACCCCCATTCTACTTTCTGTCTCTGTGGATCTGACGACTCTGGGGACCTCCTATGTATGGAATCATATGGTGTTTGTCCTTAGTAAGTTTATTTTTAATTAAATAAACTTTGTGATCATTGCAAATAAAACTTCAGAATACAAGTTGTTGCTCTTTAAAAAAAAAAAAAAAGAAAGAAAGAAGAGCCTTTGACTGACACTGCTAGGGGCAGCTCGAGCTCGTGGTTTTGGTTACTCAAATGTGGGGCCAACGGCTGTGGAAGCTGAGCCGATGACTGGCTTGCTCTTGAGTTATATAAAGCATCCGAGGAGATAAATCATGTCTGCAGCCCTGGACTCAGGCGGGGATGATGTCACAGGCATACATATAGCACATGAGCTTAGAGCTGGGACAGCTCCCGGAGATCATCTGTCCTCCCACCCCTTCTCCCAGAAAGGAGGCAGACAGTGACTTGCTCAGTGACTTGGACAAAACCCCACGGCGGGTCGGGGGCTGAGCCGAGAGCAGACCTCACGCTCCTGGCCTTCGCCACACACCTCACGAGCACTCCCCTGGTCTTCTCCAAGGTCACAGTCTGAGGATATCTATCACCAAGTGAAAATATCTCAAGAAAGTGAAATAAAGATAAACAGATCCAAAAAACTAAGGAAACGAAACTGACTGCTGTTTCTCTGGTTTGCTGGGTTTTTTTTTGTTTATGTTTTTTAAATAAAAACTGTTTTAACATAATTTTAAATGAATATATACAAACTAGCTCGAAGATTCAAATATTTTTCCATTTTCCGTCAAATGGATGGAAGCCTGATAAGTAAACAAGAGTAAAGACTGAAAAAAAACCTGTCATTAGTATAAATTTTTAACAGAAAGCACATGGGGTGGGGGGAGTTGGTACGATGTTGGTCAAAAAAATACAGATCTATAGTTAGATGAGAGGAATAAGTTCCAGAGAGCTATTGTCCAGCATGATGACGATAGTTAATGGCAATATGTTGTATTCCTGAAACATGCTAGGACAGTGGATGTTAAGTGCTGTCCCCACAGAAATAACTGTGTGAAATGCTGCATTTAATTAGCTAGACTTAACTGTTCCACAGTGTCTGTATATGTCAAAAGATCATGCTGTACATGATAAATACCTACAATTTTATCTGTCAATTTAGAAAAATAAATAAATAAATTGGGGGAAAAAAAGAAAAAGAAAGCACAGGAGGGGGGATGGGTTATTGCTCTTTGCTGTCTCCAATCCTTAAAACGAAAGGGTCTCAGTGAGGACGAAATCCATCCCTGACTTTGTCAATAACCTCTGGACACCCTTGGTTGTGTTTCTAGCTTTGCACAGAAGCCTTGAGTGTTTTAACACAGCTACATCCCCATCAGCGTGAGGGGGCAGAGAGGAAGGGAGTGGGGAGAGGAGAAAATTCCAGAGGAAAATGGTGCCAAGACATGGAAAAGATCTGGTTTTGACACGAGTCTTTATAGTATGTGCTTGTGTAACGATGTTTAAAAATGCATATGTGTGTTTTCATATGAAATAGAATGCAGTGCATGTGCGTGAACTCTGAGGAAAGACAGGGCTGCCTCCTGCACGTGGAGCCGGTGGATCATGTGTGTATGTGTCAAACCCACCGATCCCCCCAGCTCCACCTACGCTCACCTTTGAGACAATAATCCAACTCATACAGCTCACTGTCTTCTGCCTGCCTCTCCCAGAAAACCAGGTAGTGCGTGATGTTGCCGTTGGGGTCCGAGGGGGGCTTCCACTTCAGAATAATCTGGGATGAGGAATTAGAAACGGAGATCGGATCCAGGGGAACGGAAGGATCTGCGATGGAGAAATAAAATGGGTCCACCGTGAGGATTTGTGTGTAAGTTGTTGGGTGGATGGAAGAGGGGAAGGCACGCTCAAGTTAAAGAAATCGTGAGTGTGTTCACTGCAGTGTTATTTAACATGGGAGAAAACTGGAGACACGGGGTACACTCGCCCAGTCAGGGCCTGGGCGACCAAATCACTGTCCGCTCGTACCTCAGGCTATGTGGCCATTCATTCATCCATTTAGGCAACAAACATTGATCAAGCTCAGACATGAGCTGAACTCTGTCTGTTCTGGGTACTGGGAAGATGCTGCTGGTAAGAGAGAATAGTGGAAAGAGACCAGTAAACTCCCATTTTCTGGCTGGCATTTGCTCCGGATTGAACCCAGGCACAGAGCAAGCTTGAAGCCATTTGGTCCTGGCATTGAGTGACATCCAACACCCTTCAAAAACATACCACCTCTGGGCTCCACAAAACCTTCCCCTCAAGAATGGAGGTGGCTGGAGTTGGTGAGTCAAAGGTAAGGTGTTCAACTCACGTGCAAATTCTTGTTCACAAGAAACACTTACTGGTGGCATCTGTCTGGACATAGATGATGTCACTCTTGGCCCCATAGGTCCGGCGTTCATCGGAAAAGGTGACCAAGGTCTTGACAAAGATGGCGTACTGGGTCCAGGGCTTGAGACCCCGCATCAGCCACCCGGGGTGATTCTGTGACTTGGGGTCGTTGGACCTGAGGGGTGGGTCGATGTCCACCACCGTCCAGCTGTTGGAGCCACAGGCATCTTGCCCATCAAACTCTGTCACATTCTGATAAGGGCTTTCAAGATAAAATAGGGGAAGGTGGTTATCACTTTGTGACTATCGCTCTGTATGCCATAGAGACGGGGTCCAGGTGTTGGAGTAAGCAGGACTGAAGTCATGTTGAGATCTAAAATCACCTGGGCTGTGGGAAAAAAATTTTAAAGGAACACAGTTTTTTTCTTAGCACGCATTTCTCTGAGTTCCCTCTTTTCCCGTGGTTATTTGATATTTCAAACCTTGGTTACAGGGCAACATGATTTACATAAATGTAAAGTTGTTGTCAGTCAGCCTGGAGCTGCAAACTTGCCATGAGGCACGTACTATCCAGACCCCAAGAAACCAGGAAAGACATCAATAAAGCGATGCTGACGCCACCCTGGAGCAAATCAAAATCCTGCAGGACCCTAAGACAATGTCAAGGGCGAAAACAGAAGCCGGACAGAGCCTTGCGAGAATTTGCACCCAGCCCCTTACATGTCCCTTCCCTCCTACTTTTCACTTCCCATGTTCTGTCATCCCCCACTTTAAAATACCCTCAGTAAATCTGAGTCTCAGAGATGGCTTAGTCACCTATCTCCTTCAGGTCACTGGTCTTGAATAAAGCTGGCTTTCCTTATCACCAACATTGACTCTTGGGTCTTTCTTTTTTGTTTGTTTGGGGGATAGGCAGCCAGACTTGGGTTCAGTAACACAGAGAAATCACACCCTGTAAGTCTGCATATTGTTCACCCAGCAATCTGTGTCACAAGGAAACATGACAGCAGAACAGCCAAAGAAAAGGGGACTGCCAACCCCGACGTCTCAATTATATAATAATGATAGTAATAGCAGTAACTACCTCATGAGTTATTGATAAGATTACATGAGAGAACGCGCGTGAGTTCCCAGCCCAGCACGTGATAAGTCCTGACAGATGGATCTATTGTTAATATTACTTCTATCACCCCCTCCACGACCTTAAAAATTTCAACACAAAGGGCTGGCCGGTGAGCTCAGTTGGTTGGAGCGTGGTGCTGATAACACCGAGGTCCAGGGTTCCATCCCTGTACCAGCCAGCTGCCAAAAAAAAAAAAAAAAAAGTAACATTTAATAGGTATAGAAGATAAGATTACATGAGAGAACGCGCGTGAGTTCCCAGCCCAGCACGTGATAAGTCCTGACAGATGGATCTATTGTTAATATTACTTCTATCACCCCCTCCACGACCTTAAAAATTTCAACACAAAGGGCTGGCCGGTGAGCTCAGTTGGTTGGAGCGTGGTGCTGATAACACCGAGGTCCAGGGTTCCATCCCTGTACCAGCCAGCTGCCAAAAAAAAAAAAAAAATAGTAACATTTAATAGGTATAGAATTTCTGTTTCAGAGGATGAGAACGTCCTGCAGATGGATGGTGATGATGGCTGCACGATGATGTACAATGTAAATGTACTTAATGCCACTGAACTGTGCTCTTAAACATGGTTAAGATGGTGAATTTTATGTTAGGTCCATTTTTCCATGATCCAAAAAATGTTGGAAAAAAATAAAATATAAATAAAAAAAAAATCTTAAAAAAAAAACCTTCTCAGTAGACTGTGCTCCTGGCTGCTGAGAGATGTCTACACAGGACGGGCAAAAGGGGATATTGCTCTAGGAAATGGCCAGTCCTCCAAAATAAACCTGCACGCTTCAGTTTCAGGCTTTTGACAAAAGGGGATGTTATTGGCTTTGTACACAATCGCCTGGTGAGATCATAAAAGGTTACTAGAGGCTGGGAAAGAGAAAGGAAGGGGGAGGACTGGGAAAGGCTGCAGCCTGGTACAAAGTTAAAAAGTTCCATTAGATCCAGAGAATCAGTTCTGGCAGCTCTAGGATGACTATAGCGAATAATATCGTATTGTATATCTCAGGATAGCCAGAAAAGAGGATCTTGAATGTGATGAGCACAGAGAAACAATAAACGTTTAGGTGACAGAGATGCTAACTACTCTAATTGGATCATTAAACAATATGTGGGGCCGGCCCGGTGGCGCACTGCTACAGTGCGCCGCTTGGGAGTGTGGCAGCGCTCCCGCCGAGGGTTCGGATCCCACATACAGACCAGTTCCCGCTCACTGGCTGAGCGAGGTGCGGGTGCGACACCGAGGGTTGCGATCCCGTTGCCGGTCCCTGGTACGGGCGCGACACCAAGGGTTGCAATCCCGTTGCCAGTCCCAGTCCGGTACGGGGACGACACTGAGGGTTGCGATCCGTTGCCGGACACACACACACAAAAAAAGACAAAAAGGAAAAAAAAAAAACAATATGTGCATGTCTTGAAACAACAAACTGCACCCTATAAACATGTAGATTAAAAAACATTTTTAAAAATACAAACAAACAAAAAAGGCAACCTATGATATTTATTCCATGAGGACGAGGGAAATAGAGAGGAACCAGAGAGGGAAAGTCTACAGCCCCATGCAACACGCACAGAACTCGCTGGTCCTCATCCCCGCACCGCTCCGCGAACCCTACTCTTCAACTTACGCCTCTTTGTAGAAGAGCATGAACCCCAGGAGGTCTCGGAAATCAGGGGGCCAGTACGGTTCCCATCTCAGCAAGATCTTGTCAAAACTTGTCCGAATGCTAGAAAATTTAAGTAATTCATTTTCACCTAGAAGAGTAAAAAACAAACAAACAAAAACAGGCTACATTAATATTGAATAGTTTTAGGCCAAAGTGTATGATCCCACACTTCCTCGGGGGGTATGAGAGGGGGATGGGGCAACCACTTGCTCAACGGAATAGCGGCAATCTATGCCAACACGAGGACAACTGGCCCGTAGTTATTAGGAGCAGGGATTTTCAAGAGCAACGTTTGTCCTGACACAATTTCATCTTGCACATGGACTTGCAAGCCTGACATGGCAGGACATATACCTAAATTAAGTGCAAATAAAAATTCACCACATGCACTTAGAGAGCGTGCCGATCCATACCCTGGAGAGACACATCTGAGTAATTCTCTCTGCCGAGAATGCAAATCCTCTCTTAAACTCCACCCCAACCTAGCTGTGTCCTCAGACTATGTTTTGCCATAAGGAACTAAGTCCCCAAAGGGGTGTTACAGAAGCCCCGGCAGCTGTCTGCTCAGAACTTGTCAGGGGAGTGCAGTTGCTGACAGCCTCCAGCTGTAGCATTCAAACCAAGGCGTGGCTCTCCCTGGACAGCCCCCCACCCATGACTGAGCTCCAAGGGAGCCTGGCCATTCCTACCCAATGCAGGACTCCTCTGCAGAAAACTGTTGCCTGGAGCTCCCCCAGGGCTCAGCCAAAACTCAAGGAGGCACTGCTGTCTGAGGCTCTCCCTGCCCTATCCTCCTTCCTTCCTCCTCTCTGTTCACAGAGGTCAGACCCACACTGTCATCAGAAGGCCCTCCCTGCCTACTCCACTTCCGTCTCCTCTTTATATTTCATGGACATTACCCTCAATACATTTTCTGCGTGTCTAACTCCATCCTGGCATTTGATTCCGGGAGGACGCAGATGGGCACAGGTATTTTACCCAACACCAAAGCCCTCAGCATCAGCCCAGTGCATATATAAGGAAGCATCATCCATCCATCCATCCACCAATTCATTCATTCATTCATTCATTCATGCAATGCTTATGCAGCATCCTCTGATATCAGGGACTGCATTTGGTGCAGTAGACACAGAGATAAGACATGCAAAACCTGTCCTCCAGACAATGAATTGCTGTAGCTAAATAGAGGACAGTGACACCCCCCCCCAAACCAGGGACCGGCATGGTGGGTGAGGGAGGGCAGGTGCATTATCTGGTTCATGCGCTGGGAGAACCACTTACAGGATGCCTGGTCACCATTCGTCTTCAGGGCAATATCATTCCTCTCCTGGCGCCCCTTGGTCCCTGAAACTTCTTCCATCTTGTGAATTTCAGACAAGCAGAGTTTGGGGTTATAGTGGAAGAAGAGTTTCCCTTGAGTGATGGTGAGGTTGTGTTTGCTCCAGTCCCAGAGCTGCCTTAGGTTCTGGTTGTCCAAGGCATAGAAGGAATAGTTCCTATGGAAACACACACAAAGCTAGTCATTCAATGGCTGGTCTTCCCCAAGCCCAAGATGGCAGGGCCATGCCTGGAGTTGATCTTGTTCCATCCCCAATACTAACCATTTGCTTGGTACGCCTTCAATAAATATTGTTGAATGGGAGGGATGGGGGAAGTTGAGGACGTTTTCATGGCCAGGATCTGAGCTCAGTCATGAAGGGAAGTGATGAGACTGTGACGGACTGAGAAATGGGTTTTGCAGAGAGGAAAGATAAAGACACAGAGGCACCTGAATTGGGCTCAGGGAAGAGCAAAGTGGCTTTCTTTGGCCGACAGATGGCAGGAATTTGCTGGAGAGCCTGCAACAGACCAAACCTGCTGATATATATTGCATTCCAGACCAAGACCAAGAATGCATGACCTGCCTGGGTAGGCAGAGGAGAGTCACTGAAGGTTTTATATCAGCTCAGTGACTTATTAGACCTATGACTTAGAACAATTATGAGTTACCAGTGCATGATAAATGGGAGAACAGAAGTGTCTAGGCCTGCATTGTCTGATATAGAAGCCACTAGCCACATGTGTCTATTGACTGCCTGAAATGTGGCCATTCTGAACTGAACTGGAAGGAAGAAAAAAAAAACAGATTTCAAAGACTTAGTACAAAAAAATGGGGATGTTAAAGATCTTCTTGATAAGTTTTTTAATACTGATTCCATGTTGAAATGACATTTTGCATATAATGAGCTAAGCAAAAATGCATTAGTAAAATTACTCTCACCTGTTCCTTTTAACTTTTTAAAAATATGGCTGCTAGAACATGTAAAGTCCCATCTGTGACCTGCATTACATTTCTATTGGGCTATGCCGGTCTAGTTCTAGAAAGCCCAGCTAGGAGGCAATGGAGCAATTCAAATGAAAGGTCTGAGCTTTAGCAAAAAGGCAGTTTTGTGGTAGAAATATCAACACAAGCTGGTGAGTGATTTGAGGCCTTCTAAGCAATACAGTGGACTGGTTTCTCAAAAGCCATTTACAGCCCTCTTCTCATGCCTTCCTTTACGATAGAGGCTGGAAAAGTTAAATAGTCACCTCTCAACCTCCCTGGTGGTAGCCACGTGACCCAGTTCTGGTAAATAAGATAGAAGCAAAAATCAAGCTGAGGATGAGAGTGTGGGAGGTTCTAGGAGAGTTGTGTTTTTTTTCTTGTGGCTGGCAGGTGCAGGGATCCAAAGCCTTGACCTTGGTGTTATCAACACTGTGCTCTACCCAACTGAGCTAACCAGCCAGCCCCTTTAGGTGAGTTTTTCTAAGAAACAGTGTTGATTGGCATGTCCTTTTGTACCTTTCTCCACTGCCAGCCTGTCCTATAGATGTGAGGCTGGAGGCGAGGCAGCCATTCTGTGACCATGAGGAACACAAAGATGGAAAGAACTTGCGGCCCCGGAGGCACCACTGGATGGCCTTCCTGAGAAGTCTTCCCCACGAGTCAGCCTCTATCTGTGTATAACAGTCAGATTCTGTTGTTTTATACTAACTGAATCAGGATCAGCTGGACCTCGAGGGAGGGGATGCCAAAAATGAAGATGGACACAGGGCAAGGAGGGGAGCTCTGTTTTGCACATGTTGCATTTGAGGCTCCTGGAGGTCACTCAGGGCCAGCTAGAGACAGGTTTGGGGGCAAGGGACAAAGTCAGGGCTGGAGGCCTCAGCACAGGTAGGAGGAGATTACCAGAGAGACGGGCCAAGGCTGGGAGCCCAGAACATCAACTCTCAAAGGCAGGTGGAGAAAGCAGAGTCTGGGAGGAAAAATGAGGAAGGAAGCAGAGAGGCTGGCAGAACACCATGAAGGTGTAGAATCCCATGGGACAAAGAAGAGGAACATCTCACAAGGGCAGGTGTGGTCAATGTCCAGAAAACCAAGGAATGAGAGGTTCCAGATGCCGCAATTACAGGGTTCAGCTGCATCAGGCCCACGAGCCATTCACAATGCAGCCCAGAGAGCTGGACACTCTATTTAGCAAATTCCAGCCAGCACCCTTGGAGGACACAAGGGCTGGGCGGTACCCGCTTCAGTTTCTCAATAATGACCATAAAATGGGTTTTACACTTTTTGGCTAGATGGACTTTTAAGCACATTCCAGCACAAGTTCCTTTCTCTCAAGGTTTGGCCAGGCACTTTCTTCTAACAAGTGTGTGGGTTGTGTTTTTGTTTAGTTTAATAGTATAATAGTAGCTACAGGAGAGCCTTTTGAATACTTTTGCAACAAGGAAATGATAAATAGGTGAGATAATTGATACGTGGACTACCCAACCCTGATCCTTATACAACATATGTATGTATCAAAACATTAAATTACACACTGTAAGTATGAATAATTACAATGTGTCAAGTAAACTTTAAAAAAAAAAATTAAAAAAAAAAAACAACAACCATGAGGTTTTCTAATTTATGGTTAATGTTCGGGCCACAAACACAGAATGAGGCCCACATACCCGACTTCCAAGGTCTCTCCTCGAATCAGACGTAACTTCCGGAAAAAAGAAAGAGACACAAGAGCATAGGATCGACGGATTTTTAGGTATCCTGAAATTTCTTCAATGAGGCCAAGGTTGGCCTCCAGCTCAGCTGCCAGGTTGTCTAAGAGATGGAGAGAACCTCTAGTGAGTTTCTACAGGAATATTTTAATCTCATAATTTCCCATGGTGGGGAGTTAACCTATAGGCTGCTAATGATTTCAACACACCCCGCTCAAAACCCATCCAGGTTAGGACGCAATCCGAACTCCTTACTATTCCCTAAAGGGGCCAAGCATACCCCTGCCTCAGGACCTTTGCACTGGCTGCCTCCTTTGCCCACAATATTATTTTCCCGTATATCCACTTGGCTTGCTCCACTGCCATCTCAAAACATCCCTCCCCAGACCAGAAACTTCCCTTCAATAGCAACCCCATTTATTCTCTATTTCAGAGGTTGGCAATCCATTTGCAGCCCACTGGCCAAATGCTATGTGTTTTGCAATTAAAGTTTTATTGGAACAGAACCAGGCTCACTTGGTGACGTGTGTCTATGGCTGTTTTCATGCTACAACAGCAGAGCTGAGTAGCTATGACAGAATTATACAGCCTGCAAAGCTGAATATATTTATTATAAGGCTCTTTATAGGAAAAAGTTGCCATTCATTACTCTGCTGTGCTTTCTTTCATAGCATGAACCATCACCTGAGCTTACATTATGCATTCATCTTATTTGTAAGATCCATCACAGCAAGGCCTTGTTCACTGTAAGTATCCAATAAATGTTTGCTGAATAAATAAAGGAATGCCTTTTGGCCTGAGATGATATTTCTGGAAACGTGGTCTGTAGACCTGCAATAGGGCATGGTTCCTGCTTGTTAAAAATGCAGATTTCTCATGCTGCAACTCTCAACTTGGAAAATGAGAATCTTCGGGCAGGTGGGGCTGGGACTAGGCAGTTCATTTCAGGTTTTGAGGCAAATCCTGGCGTGACTCTACTAATGGGAGAGTCACTGAATGATGCTTTTAAAACTGCCTTGGGAGCGTGCAGCAAAGCCTGGCCTGTTTTTCTTCCCTGGTCAGAGCTCACAGGCGCATGGAGCCCAGCAGGCTGCCCCCCACCCACAACACTCACTGCCTCCTCGAATGTTGATGATCAGGCTCCCGTTGATGACGGTGCAGCCTCGGAGCTCCTGGGCGGACGTCACCGAGTCGATGGTCTTCTCACCTTCTAGGAGGTGACAGACCTTGGGACAGGGGCCCCGACATGGTGTGCAGATCAAGCTGAGAATGAAGGAGAGAGGGATCAGTGCACCCAGGGCTTCTCCCACATGTCAGACAGCCCATTCTACAGGGTCCCAAGTGACACCGTTATCCCAAGGCAGGGTTTTCTGGCCTCAGCACTGTTGACATTCAGGGCCAGATAATTCTCCGTGGTGGGGAGACTATCCTGTGCATGGTTGGGCAGCATCTCTGGGCTCCACCCAGTAGATGCCAGTAGCACCCCCTCCCCCAAGTTGTGACCATCAAAAATGTCCTTGGACATTGCCAAATGTTCCCTGGGGAGGGGAGAGGACCAAGCCACTCCCAGGTGAGAAACACTGCCTGAAGTTACAGGCTTATGCCATTACCTGATGGTGATGGGTGGCAGGTCCCCACAGCATTACCCTAAAGTCAAGGAACTCATGACTTTACTCCAAAGAAACAAAACTCACACTTTACCTCAAAGTGATGGGATTGGATAGGATCCACACTACATCCCAAGGAAACAGGACTACATTCCACCCTGTCATTATATCAAAGTGATGGGACTCATGGCACTATCACGGTAACAGGACTTACGCCATTCTTTGAGCTGATGAGCCTTACACAGGACACACACTACGTCAAAATGGCATAATTGATGCTGTTACCCCAATGTGGCAGAATTTTGCCTGTTACTCCAAGAACACAGGATGTTTGCTTTTCAATGTGGGGTGCGATGTGACCACAGCTGTAACACACCTCACACCTGACAGTGGGTGACTCGGGCAGCCTTTGGCTTTGTCTGCCTGCAGCCTGCTGCCCTTGAATTCACAGCCCCTGGGAATCCTTTGGGAACCAGCCTTTCCCTACGTGGGGTCCATGACATCAACTCTTGGCTGGCAAAGCCCTTCTAGATCTAGATGGGGCACAAGACCCAAGCCAGGCTATGTACCTTCTTCTATCCCCCTGGGGGTTCAGAAGTGGGTACACAACCCAAGTCAGTGGAGTGACAATTTTGCTAGAACCTCCTAGAAGAAGAAAATGTCTTCCTTCAAAAAAGACGATATTGCCATTTTGCTACCATGGGGGCAAGAGGTGAAGGAAAGGCTGCCTGAAAACAAAACCAACAGAGAATGGAATAAAGTCAAAGGAGAGAAAGAGATGGGTGATGTACATTGCTTGAGCTCCTGGATACAGCTGTACCTGAAGCAGTTCCCTGAACTTTTTGGTTATGGGCACCAATAAACTCCTTTAGTCTTGCTTAAACCAGGCTGAGTTGGGGTTCTGTCACATGAAACCACAAGATTCCTAACTATGAAGCTCTCAAAGTCTCACTTTCCTTGTCTGTAAAATGAGGAAACAGCACCAACCCCACAGGCTGTGATGAGAACTAGACGATACACACCACAGAAAGCACCTGGCACCTGGGAAACAAAGATCACCATTCATCGCTAGGATGATCACTTTGTATGAGTGGAGTCATTGTTACAACTGCTGTTCCTTCCACACCCCTGTGTGTTCAGCCCTTCAGAATCATTTTTGTGACTGTGGTATAATAAAGAATAGATCTGGTCTTTGTCCCAGTTCCTGGCATAGAGCTTCAAAAACCCTTGGAATTTCCTGAGTGATAAGAATGTCTTTGTTAGGAGTGTTTTACATGTTGAGGTGACATGGGGTCAGCCAGCCCCTAAATAGCTTTGGCATGGGAGCTGGTCCCCAGAAAGATCAACCATGTGACTAGAGATTTGGGGTTTTCACCCACCTGACCTCCAGGGAGGAGGGAGGGGGCTGAAGATGGAGTTCAATCACTTGCCCAATGAGTCAATCAATGACGCCAATGGAATGAGATGTCAATAAAATCTCTGGACACCAAAGCTCAGTGGAGCTTCCTGATGGTGAACACATCAATGCATCAAGAGGGTGATGAGCTGTGATTCCACAGGGAAAATACGTAGAGGTTCTATGTCTGGGGCTCTCCCAGACCTTGCCCTGTGTGTATCCTTTATAATAAGCTATAATGGTAAGTATAGCAGGTTTATTTTAATTCTGCGAGTTGTTCTAGGAAATTATCAAACCCCAAAGGGTTTGTGGAAACCCCCAAATTCATAGCCAGTCAGTCAGAAGTGTGGGTGGCCTGCGGACCCCCAAAGTGCAGCTGGTGTCTGAAGAGCAGTCTTGTAGAGGACTGAAGCTTGAACCTGTGGGGTGTGATGCTCATGCTGGTTAGTATCAGAATTGTACCTCAGTGCACCCAGCTGGTGCTAGAACAGCTGGGGTGAAAACAGAATAGTGACCATATGTTTGGGTTTTACTGCCCTACACTTATTATGCAGCAAGTGATACCCTAAGCCAGGGTTGGCAAACCATGGCCCACAGGCCAAATCCAGCTGGCCACCTGTCTTTGCAAACGTTCTATTGGAACATGGCCACATCCATTGGGTAGTGTACCATCTAAGCCTGCTTTTGCACTACAAAGGCAGACTTGAGTAGCTGCAACAGAGACCATATGGCCCTCAGAGCTGAAAATATTTACTATCTGGCCATTTGCCAGCCCTTGCTCTAAGCTGCAGGTACACATAATTGAACAAAACAGATCATCTACTTTCCCAGTGGGAAATTCCAAGTGGTCACAAGTTCTCTGAAGTTCTTTGCAGCCTCTCCAACAAGAAGTGGAGTCTATTTTTGCACTTATTGAATCTGGGCTTGGCCAATGTGACTTGCTTCAGACAATGGGATATTAGCAGAGATTTGAAAAGTACATGTAGATTGAAGCATACCTTTCCTGGCTCTAGGAGGAGAGAGACCTCAAGGAGAGAGGCCCCAGATGCCCACCTACAACATGAGAGGCTATCGTAAACCATCCAGCCATAGCTAAACTGGCCCAGGCTGGACAAACCCCCAGTCAACCCCCAAAATCATTAGAACTCATAAACGAGTATTTTAAGCCACTAAGCACTGGAACTGTTTGTTACGCAGCAAGAGCTAACTGATATATTCATGAAGTTTATGATTTGGTTGGGGAGAATAAATACATTGACAACAAAAATATCAGCCAGGAAGAGTTAAAAATGAGTGATGTGCCTGAGAGTGAACAGATGTGTAATTCGAGTGGTCAGACAAGAGATGGATTCTCCAAGGACGTGACTTTTAAGCTACAACCTAAATGACGAGGAGGGGAAGTCGGTCATGCAAAGATAAAAGGAAAGAGCATTCAAGGGAGAGGGAAAAGCATTGTGCAAAGGCTCAGAGGAATGAATGAAGTTAGCCAGCTGGAGGAAAAGCCTATGTGGCTATGGGGACCGGGGACTGGAATAAAATGAGAACTTGAGAGCCTTGTAGGGAAGGCATTTGGATTTTTTCTAAATGTCTTGGGGAGCCACTGGAGGGTTTTAAGCAGAGACTTGGCATGATCAGATAGCCATTTTTTAAAATTCCCTTTAGCCATTGTAGCTGGACTGCAAGCAGAAAGATGAGGAAAGAGACTGTTATAGGTGACTGAGTCCAACATGACAGGGAGACAGATGGAGCTGTAGACAGATTTGAGACCTCAGTTTAACAGGAAGGTGTGAGAGAGGGAAAGAAAAGAATTAAGGGTTTGGGGTAATTCCCCCCTTCCCAAAGGATGGCCCACACCCATTGCAAACTTAACATCCACCCCAAATATCTGGTCCTTTTCATCTCAGAAAAGTGCACCTCCTGCTTTCCCCAGGTGTCTTGGGGTGACCGTAGACAATGAGGTACTTTACTGAATCCACGTGGGTTCCCAGAACTCCGCTCTGAAATCATCAAGAACTATTTCCCAGATAAGCCACCAGAATGGAAGAAAACATATCTGGCCCTCTTTGATATCAAACCACATCAGAAAATGCAACAGTACTATAAAGTCTTTCATAAAATTAAAGAAAAGCTTCAGAAGGAAAAAATACTAATTTTAAAAAAAAACGTACAAAGTAAAAATACTGCCGAGATGTGTCCTTATATTAACATCTCTCATGTTGTCTTCATCCCAGATGTCAAGGGATGTGCTGTCGATTTCTGAGGGTTTTTGTTCTGGGGGCTACATCAGTGAGAATATCAAAGACAGTTGTTATATTTCTCAGGACTTAGTTATGGTGAGGGAAAAAATACCTTTGATGTAAAGCCAATGTCTTTTAAACAAACATCTCACCGGGAGATGTTAATACCCACACTTTATTTCAAATGTGAAAAAAAGCAGAAATTAATCAAAACAAATATGATCACTTTTCCAAACTTACTGATAAACTGGCCCAAAAAAGTTCTATCTGGCATGCAGAGGTGATTCATAGAGGCCTATTTTTGGTCAACAAACCACTTGATAGGTTTTTATTAAAAATGAGTGAAACAAAACATATTGTACTTTCGGGTTTCACCAACACTAGAAAAGAGGATCATAAGAACTGAAATAAAGATTGTTTTCCTTCCCACCCTCTCCGCCCAGGGAAATAAAATTTCCCACCAGAACAGTCTCGCTTGGCTAATTCTCAAGTCTGAAGAGGAAGATTTTTACGTAAGCAGGTCAACTCAAGGCCTCCCGACGTGCGTCTGTTTCTGATTTGTTTTTGTGTTGTTTTGCGGTGGTTTTTTTTTTAGCCCTCAAACACAAAAACCAGGAAACAGATTTTTTAAACTTGGTTACAGCCCTGAGAAACTGAAATAGCTCATCTAGGAAGCTAACAACATGAACAAAAAGTCTGTGATGTGCGTAGGAAATCTGACTCATCGCCGAAGAGAGAAAACCCTACTACTTCTCACCCAAATGGTAGGAAATGATTCAATCGCACTGTTCTTCAAAGAACAGCAAAGCCCTGAGAATAATGTGAGTCTCTTCCTCCTTGAGACGGTATGTTCTGGGCTAATCTCCACACATCGTCCAGCTCCAGATTGGAAAAGACATGAAAAACCTCAGATACTTTCTTGGTGTCCAATGAGGCATCTCCATCAGTTTTAGGGTAAACCAAGAACTTCTGTCTTTATATTTTCTGTCCTAAAGCTAAGCACAGCAAGCTTAGAAATGCTATGCATGATGTTGGGAATATTTACTATCTGGTCCTTTAAAGGAAAAATTGTTGACGCCTATTCCAAACCCCAGGACCAAAACTGGAGGCAAAAATGGCATTTGAGACCAGCCACCTGACTTGTAGCTGATGAACTCTGGTTTTGCACACAGTGTCAACAGGTAACACCATCCTTACCAAACCCACATCCCTTTTGCTGCCCCCCAGACCCACCCCCAGGACTCACTTGCTGGAATTCATCGTGTACCCGGAAGGACACTCAGGGATGCACTTGTTGTTATGAATGACGTATTGGTGGCAGCCCTGCCTCCGCGAGTTCTTGCATTTATTATGAAGGTCCTGGCAGAAGCTGAAGTTCACGCAGCGCCAGTCCTGGAAGTGGTAGTACGGGGGCGGGCAGGTCTCCACGCACCTACCCTCCAGGTAGAAGTTGCGGCAGGCCACACACTTGGTGGGATCGTCGGGCTCGGAACAGTTGCCCAAGCACTCACTGTGGCAGCAAAGGCCTTCGGCAGTGCAGCCGTGGGACTTACAGATGGTTGGGCAAACTGGAGAGACAGAGAAAACACAGCTGGTCAGTGGATTTGCCCAACTCCTGTCTGCACATGCAGCAGTCCTGGACAAGGGAGAGGAAGCCAAACAAAATAATAACAATAATAGCCACACTTCTATAGCACTTGCTGCATGCCAGGCACATCTATTAAATCATTTAAGCACCCAAGGCAGTGGTGTGCTCATAAATGTTTAACAACCGCCTGAGGCAGGGCGGCCAAGAGGCCCTGACTTTCAGCATTTGCCAATGGTGTAAATACTTGTGCCATGGTCGATTTCAGGCTACCTACGTGAAGTCACTGGACATAAAGCTGGCAAGAGATACACAGTAGCACACCACCAGATAGCACTTTCACTAATAGATACAATGTATACTCATATATCTACTATAGACGCAATAATAGTAAATAACCTTAAATGCACAAATAATAGAAAAATGTAAGAAGATAATTAAGAAATGGTGAGTTTTGAGAATTCATTACCTTTGTTTTTTTAACATAACTTAATTGCAGATTCATATAATTTAATTTTTAATAATGTCTGTGTTTAACAAATAGCTTGCAAATTTCCTGCAAATTTACAGTGGGCTCCAGCACCCCATTGTACCCCAACTGTGAAGTAGATACATTGTTTTCAAAAAACTTTTTTTATTGTAACTGAGTTGATTTTACCTATCTGTGGGATATAGAGTCGAATATCAACACCTGTGCGCAATATGTGATGCTCAAATCAGGATAATTAGCATATTTGACATTTTACAATGTAATTGTTTTTCGTGGCCCTTTACCAATTCCTCTCTTATCCCCTCCCCTTTTCCCACCTACAGTAGCCTCAGTTCTGTTCTCTCCTTTTGAAAGTTCGACATAGTATTGTGATTGTTGTACCTTTCTTTCTTTCTTTCATTTGTTTATTTTTTAGCTCCCACTTATGAGTGAGGACGTGTGGTATTTCTCTTTCTGTGCCCGGCTTATAGACACATTGTTATCTCCATTTTGTCCATTTTACAAATGGGGAAACCAAGGCACAGGGAGGTTAAGTAACTGGCCCAAAAGCTATCGATTGCTTCAACAGACATTTGCTTGCACGGATCTAGATTCTGTAGCCACTGCAGGGGAAAAAGGCGGGCGAAGACCCTGCCTTTGGGGGCACAAAGTCTAATGGAGGAGGCATATTAGTTATCTAAATAGGCCAATGTGCAATTGCACATGCTGGGTGGTAAGGGGAGGTGACATTTCTGCTGCAACCTGAAGGATGAAAAAGAGTGAATGGAAAGAAAGAAGGCTCTTCAGGTGAGGGCAGGGCCTGAGCATACAATTTGAGGCTGGAGGGATTTTTTGTTTTGATGAAACTGAATTTGTCCTCTGAAGGCTGGACTCCACCCTGGCTTGTACCAGCAGCTTATCACACGTGCCTTTTCTCCCGATGTCTCACTACTCACTTCCTAATTACCTCTTGATTTCGGTGCCTCGGCATCTGGCCTGTGCCCTACCTTTCCCAGGCTGTCAGCAAACTCGTCCCTGGACAGACAGCTTTTCAGCCCTCGGCCATGTGCATGGCCTGTTCGAGAAGGCGCTTTCTTCCCTCACTCCCTGCACAGTTTGAAAGGTGATTTGGAAGCCGGCGAGTGTTATTCACCCCAAATCCTCAGGCTCTATGATTGTCGCGGTGAACTTTCCCCGCACCAAGTGGATCCCCCCAGCTGGACCAGGCAACAAAAGTGGCCCTGGAAGCTGCGTCTGTGTGTATGAGCAGCACTGTCTGATCCCACTTTCGGCGACAACGGAAATGTTCTCTCTCTGCTCTGTCCAGCACAGCAGCCACTTCTGCCCTGTGGCTACTGAATGTGGTTGGTGCAACCGAGAAACCAAACTTTAAAAAAAAATTCTGATAAAATATACACAGCATAAAATTCACCATCTTTTTTTTTATTTTTTATTTATTTATTTATTTTGTCCTTTCTGAGACCAGCCGCACTGCGCTCAGCCAGTGAGCGCTGTGAGTGCACCAGCCATCCCTATATAGGATCCGAACCCGCGGCAGGAGCGCTGCTGCACTCCCAGCGCCGCACTCTCCCAAGTGCGCCACGGGGCCGGCCCAAAATTCACCATCTTTACAATTTTTAAGTGCACAGTTTTTTCAGTGGCATTGAGCACATTCACATTGCTGTGCAGCCATCACCACCATCATCCCCAGAACTTTCTCATCTTCCCAAACTGAAACTCTGTCCCCATAAAACACTCCCTCCCCATCCCCCTTCCCAGCCCCTGGCACCCGCCATTCTACTTTCTGTCTCTATGGACCTGATGACTCTAGGGACTTCCTATGAATGGAATCACGTAGTGTTTGTCCTTTTACATCTGGCTTATTTCACTGAGCACAGTGTCCTCACGGTTCATCCACGTTGTGGCACGTATCAGAATTTCCTTCCTTGTGTATATTCATTCATCTGTGGATGGACACTTGGGTTGCTTCCACTTTTTAGCTATTGTGAATCACGCTGCTATGAACATGGAAGTACAAACATCTCTTTGAGTCCCTGCTTTCAATTCTTTTATGTATATACCCAGAAGCAGAATTGCTGGATTATATAGTAATTTTATATTTAATTTTCTGAGGAACAGCCACATTGTTTCCCACAGCAGCTGCACAGGTTCCACCGTTCCCTAACAATGTACAAGGGTTCCAGCTTCTATGGAAGAGCCAAACTTGTAACTGCATTTCATTTTCATTCATTTTAATTGCATTCAATTTTAATAGTCACAGGTGGCTACTGGCTCCTATATAGGACAGCTTAAGGTTAGAGAATAAAAACAAACTCCTTTCCAAGGCCTTCAGGCCCCCTGGGGTCTAGTCTCTACCAGCCTCACTATGCCCTTCTTTCTGCCCCTCACACATCCAGGCTCAGTGCCACCTCAGGACCTTTGCACATGCTATCTGGCTGGCCAGAGCACCCGACCCTCTGTATCCTCGTGGCCAGCTCCTTCTTGTCCTTCAGGTTTCAACTCCTTACAAAGTGCTTCCCTGACCTTCCCAGCAGAAGTTGCCCCTCCTTCTCAAACCACATTCTAACACGTTATCTTATTACATTCTCCTTACAGCACTTATCACTCTTAAAAAATGATCCTGGGTGCTTTTGATTGACTGTCTAGAGGGGAGTCCTAGGGGGCAGGGCCATGTGTGTTCCCCATTTAGTGCACCCACTCCTAAAACTGGGCCTGGCACCCATAGGAGCTTAGCAGACATGTGTCCTTTTAGATAGAGGGAGAACCTTGGATGAGTTCTGGAGCCACTGGCTAAAAATTGGGGACTTGCAACTGCTCCAAAATCCTTCCTCCTCTCTCTAAACGGACACTGTCTGCTGAGCTCCTTCTGGGTGTCAGGTACAGTTTCAGGCTCCAGAACTTACCCAGGGGCTCCCAGTTGCAGGAGTTCCACAAGCCCCCTGGAAAATTACACGCAATATCTGGAGTGTATATGCACATGTGCATACTTTGATGTTTTTACATGGATCCAAAAAGAACAAAGAAGCTCTAAGAGGAGCAGGATGAAATGCCGAGGAGACACCCACCAATGTCTGTGGGGTTTTTTTTAGGGCTTGCATGCCACTCATTAGGTTCTTACTTAATTTGAACAAATACCCTGGCAGGGAGTGGGGTAAATAACATTTTCTCTGTCGCACTGAGGCAAAAAGATGGACCTAGTTGAAAAGCAGCAGGGCCAAGACTGTAATCTCCATCTTTTGGTCTAAATCTGACATTCCTGGGCTCGAAGAATGATTGCGGTTGTCTCCAGGATCCACACAGACAAGGCTTTGGTGACAGGACACCCGCTACCACCTAAACGGACATGCCATAAAGATTTCTCTAAAGAACAAATGGCAGCCTCGGTTTTCTCATCTGTAAAATGGGGATGAGAAGAGTCCCCTACCTTCTTCTAAATGGAAGGATGTAGGCAAAACACAAGATTTTTTGACAGATACATTTTTAAGCTTGATAAAAATTAGCCAGTGGAAGTATCATTATTATCATCATCTTCAATAGTGACACATCTGTGGGAACTTGAGGGCTGAAACTCAATTGGAGGAAGTAATACAGAAGGCAGACAGCAATTACCTAGGGCCCACAAAGACCCAGCTCTCTGGCAAGGCACATGGAAGAACAGGAAGGGACCCATTTCCTGGGCAGAGGCCACACCAGAGGGTCAGCCCTTTCATTCAGAAGAGGCGTCATCAAACACCTAACAAACACCTCTCAAACACATAAGCCTTCCGGCCTAGACAATGGCAAGAAAAATTATCCGACCCTTGCAAATGAGGTCAGAGGGTGACTACAGGACTTTTCCATCTTACACTGCAGTGCTGTCTAAGAGGCCCATCTGAGGATTATTTAATTCTCTGGCACCGGGGTTGGCAAACTTTTTCTACAAAGGGCCACAAGCAAATATTTGAGGCTTTGCAGGACATACAGTATCCGTTGAAACGACTCAACGCTACCATTGTGGTGTGAGAGCAGCCACGGACCATGTTTATGAAGAGGCACAGCTGTGTCCAATAAAACTTTATTTACAAAGGCAAGTGACCGGCCAGATAGTTTAACCACCCCTGCACTAACGAAATGTACCTGTGATCACTTTCGCTGTTTCTACTAGGGCCTAGACTCTGGGAAGTTAGACATTAACTGACACATGCATATGTTGCAAATCATTTTTATCCAGTAGAAAAGATAACCCCCAAAGATCACAGTTTTATTACAGTTTTAATGTCCTGTCGGACATTAAGCAGTCTTGTATCTAACGTTGCCATCTTACTTCAGTGATTAGAAACGCTTCTGTTTTACCATCCTGCTGTGCCCTCATTAAAGGTGAAATAAATGTGTTAACCTGTGTTTTCACTTTTTGGCATGAGTTGTCTTTTTAACTCTTTGAAGACTGTACTTTGATAACTATAAACCAACTCCACGTGTCTCCCGCTCTGTGGGGAGATGGTGACCAAAGGATA